GGTATTGCTAGTAGTGTCAATGCCAGCGTTTCTTTTTAATTGTCCAAGCGTTGATAGCAGTGTCTCGTTTGTGGTTAGTTATAACAGCGTTGACAGCAGTGTCTCGTTTGCGGACTCCTCATTGTACATCAACTCGCTGATACCGGGTTTCCTATCAACACCATCATCATCATCCTTAACCATGTTTGCTCGAGTTTCACCTGGCCGTCCAGCCGCGGCGGTGCTCCTCAGCCTGCCTTGTCACAATGCCAGCACGCGGCAAGGCATCGCCCCCGCCACCCCCGGCCCCGTGCGATGGCCCGTGGGAGATTCTGCCGGATCCGCCCGCACCGACTCCTCAGCCAGGTGTCGACGTGGTCTTTGAGCAGGCTCACCTCGAAGACATCAGCCGTACACCAGGGATGGGCGGCAAGACCGCCTGCCAGTGGCAGCGCGCGCTGCGCGCCGAGTGCATTGTCAACAACTTGTCGTTCAAAGACGTAACAAACGACCCGTCCTACTACTGGAAGCAACTGCTTCGGTCTGCCGCTCCGGGTTTCGCTGAGCGCATAATCGGGCAGGGCATCGCCCAGGTTCTCTTTCGCATCATCGAGACAGAGCGCGACCCTAACTCCTCCAACACGGATGGCCACGGCAGGCACTTCTTCGAGTTCCGTCGTGCAGACGGTTCAGCCATGCGCCTGCATTACCATAAGAACGGCCGACCCGATGAGCCCACCTATGTCGGTCCACCACGCGCCGTTGCTCAGCCAGCCGTGCCTGAGCCTGGCGCTGCTCAGCCTCATGTTCCTCGTGGCGGCGCTGCTCAGACTGCCGTGCCTGACGGTGGCGCTGCTCAGCCTGCCGAGACTGGCGGTGATGCCCCCCTGCTCTTCACACAGGAGCACCTGCAAGAGGCAGCCTGCTCGCGCCAGATTGTGGGCCGCGACGAAGCCAGCGCCGCTCTCCAATCGCTGTTGCACTACCACCATGGCGAGACTGCCTCAGGTGCTGTTGACATCACCGATGGCTCAGCATTTGACTGGCTTCGATGGGTGGCACATATCGAAGGTGCGCGCGACGTCATCCGCAATGGCGTCCACAGGGTCTACGCTGTCCGCTGGAATCCGCACTGGGCTCCAGAGGCCGTCTTCTGTTACGGCAACAACACCTACAGCACACTGGTGCCCCGCAAATCGCGCTACACAGGCTCGTGGAGCCACGCGCGAATTGTGACTCACCGGAACGCCAATTGGGTGACCGAGCCGTTGCTATCTGCGGCCCCTGTGGCAGCTACGCCGTGGCTGGTGTTGCGGGATCAAATAACCTGGGAGTGATCTCTGGCAAACGAGATGTGGTGCTTCTCAGCCTGCACTCATGTGACACGCAATGCCGTTCCCTGCAATCGCGTGGTGTTTCTCAGCCTGCACTCGCAGGTCCTTCGGAGGTCAATTGTTATGAGTTCGGCACGGTCTCGGTCAAGTACAGCGTGCTGTGGGGATCCCGAGATGGGGCCTGGCTCAAGGTGCTCAAGAAGACGTACTGGAGTGTCCCAGAGCCGGAGTGCCAGCTGATCCTCGGGAGTTGGAACGGCATTTTCAGGCCGTGGCCGGACACGTTCTGGATCAGGACGGGGGGGTCCGAGCCCGAGATGGAGTGCTAGCGCTCTGCAGGACAAGTGCTTTTCAGCATGCGACATCCTGCGGTGCTTCTCAGCCTGCAGGGTTCGCAGCGTGCGGTTTGCAATGCATTCCTTTTCAGTATGCGAGTTCCTGCGGTGTTTCTCAGGTTGCAGGGCTCCGAGGCTCTTCCCTTCGATGCCAATGTTTTCAGACACCGTAGCTCCGTTCCGTAACCATCTTCCAAGAGCCGCTCGCAACTTTTTGCAGCTGGCGGTCTGCAGACGTAGTCTGTCTCAGCATGCGAGCTCCCGCACGCTTCGCCGGCTTTTGCTGCGCGGACAATTTCCTCACACACGTCAGCGCCGTTTGTAGGCGTCAGAAAAACATGTAGACATTCACGAAGGGCTCAGTCTGTATATCGTCACATCATTACATACGCAGTCGTCGAACACATCGGTGTACATTCAGCGCTTTGTCCTTCTAGCTGGGTCGCTTCGTGCTGAGGCTGAGGCTTATGCAGGCTGAGGCTGAGGCAGGCTGAGGCTGAGGCCGAGGCCGACGGCAGACTGAGGCTGAGGCTGAAGCAGGCTGAGGCTGAGGCAGAGGCAGGCTGAGGCTGAGGCTGAGGCTGAGGCAGGCTGATGCTGAGGCAGGCTGAGGCTGAGGCTGAGGCTGATGCAGGCTGAGGCTGAGGCAAGCTGAGGCTGAGGCCGAGGCCGAAGGCAGACTGATGCTGAGGCTAAAGCAGGCTGAGGCTGAGGCTGAGGCAGGCTGAGGCTGAGGCAGGCGGAGGCTGAGGCTGAGGCAGGCTGAGGCTGAGGCTGTGACTGCGACTGCCGTTGCCACTGCGACTGTCCTCGCGAATGCGACAACGACTGCGAGAACAGCTGAGTTCTACAACTGGATTCTCATTCGAATTTTAAGGGGAATGCTTCCAGATATGCTCCTACACATGGCTGTTAGGTTGCTTTGCCGGGATAATTTTTTAAGACGGAACATATTGTGTGCGCATAAGGTGTCGGAGTTCCGCGCGGCCTTCCGACCATTTCTGTCTGTGCAGTATGTGACTCGTCTATGTGCGCTTCCGTGTCTCATGTTGAGTATTCACATGGGGGCGTCCCAAGTCGCAGGACATCGTCACGGTGTTCGATGTGCTTACTTGTTGCCGTGATGCGTGCATCTCTAGGGATAAGTGGGCGTCGTGCCTCTTCAACAAGGTTGCTGTTCCTCTTTATATCCGTCCAGAGACTGCGTCAGCCGCATTGAGGCGAAGATAGCCACGCATCGCGGGGCGTGGCGCCCAAACTCTGACGGTCCTCTTATATTCATGTTCCTCGTGATTAACACTTCCCTGTCCTACTCCGGCGCGAGTCGGAATGGTGGGCCATTTCGCTCGAGATTTCTGTATTGACGCGTAAAAGTTGGCAGCAGTTTCGCAGATGGAGGGCAGGTGGTTTTCGAAATGTGGTTCTCGCCCTAGCGCCTTGCACATTCGTCCTAAACATTTGCAAGAGTTTCACTGATTGAGGGCGGCTCCTTCTCAAACTGTGGCTCTCGCTTCAGCGCCTAGTAAACATATGAAAGAGTTTTCAGGGTTCCAACGGTCAACAAACCAGAAAATGTGTGTTTGGAACGATTCAGGATCGCCAGCTCAAAGATTAAGGTGATCCGCAGTGTTCCCAGACGTTGTGTTTTGGCACGGTTCAGGATCCTCAAGACGCAACATCCAAGTTGATTCGTGACGGTGGGGGGCCCAAGAATGGTGTTTGGACACGCTTCAGGATCGTCAAACGAGTGCCTCCCAACGGGGCACTTCCCTCAGTTGGAATGAAACCTTGTAGAAGCCTATTAAGAGGGAGTTTCGAGGAAGGGTTTGCTCCAACATCATTGATGCGTCTTGGGTTTACACTGGTGCTCCCCTCCTCCTCTCCTTCCTCCTCTCAGGAGGAAAAAACAAACAGGCACAAATAATCGTCGATTCTTTACGCTTCGCGTATCCCACCAGCCCATCTCACAGCAGCAACTCTCGCGAAGCATGCCGACAGTCGTGTTTTTCAGGCGTGTGTCCGCTTGGCCCCGCATATCTCCCCTGTTCCTCCTTCCTCCCGCCTCGTTGTACATCCTCCTTGTGAGGGGAGCGGGAGAAGGACGAGGCGGAGGAGGAGGGAGAGAAAGCGCTCCTCGTGATTTGAGTCGTTTGGGGTTTCTCGTCCTGGTGTGAGTCGTTCGGGCCCTTCTTCCTGGTGTGAGTCGTTCGGACTCTTCGTGGTGTGAGTCGTTCGGGCTCTTCGTCCTGGTGTGAGTCGTTCGGGCTTCTCGTGGTGTGAGTTGTTCGGGCCCCTCATCCTGGTGTGAGTCGTTCGGGCCCCTCCTCCTGGTGTGACTCGTTCGGGCTCCTCGTGGTGTGAGTCGTTCGGGGCCCGCGTCGTGGTGTGAGTCCTTCGGGCTCCTCGTGGTGTGAGTCGTTCGGGCGCCTCGTCCTGGTGTGAGTCGTTCGGGCCCCTCCTTGTGGTGTGAGTCGTTCGGGCTCTCGTGGTGTGAGTCGTTCGGGCCCCTCGTCCTGATGTGAGTCGTTCGGGCTCCTCGTGGGGCCTCTTGGGGGCCTCTTGGAGCCTCGTGGGGCCTCTTGGGGGCCTCTTGGGGGCCTCTTGGGGCGTCGTGGGCCTCTTGGGGGCTTCTTGGGGGCCTCTTGGGGGCCTTTGGGGCCTCTTGGGGGCCTCTTGGGGGCCTCTTGGGGGCCTCTTGGGGGCCTCTTGGGGCCGCTTGGGGGCCTCTGGGGGGCCTCTTGGAGGCCTCTTGGGAGCCTCCTGGGGGCCTCTTGGGGCCATCTTGGGGCCTCTTGCGACCTCCGCAGAAGCGCAAAGGAGAGCTGCCCCCTGAGAAGGACAAAATGAGCCCAAAACCTTCGTAAAATCAATGATTTTGCTATGAGGGAAGATGAGCGCGGCCCCCTCAGAAGGCCAAAATGGGGCCAAACCATCGTAAAATCAATGATTTCTGCTTCAAAGACGAGCAGAGGGGCCAAACTCCCTCCCCCCGTCGGGGCCAGAATCCTCGTGAGGGTCGTCGTTTTTTGGCCCTCCGAGGAGTCGAAATGGACCCCCCTGACACCACCCCGGACTCCCTGTCCAGGTCCAGGGGGAGGGGGTAGGGGGAGGGGTAAACCCCTCCCCGAAGGGGAAGAAGGGGGGTTGAGGACAGAGAGAGCTCCCTAAACCACTCACGCCCAAAGGGCTGGTGGGATTCCCGGGAGAAGATTGGAAACATGGGCAGTGGAGGGGAAGATTAACATCCAGGAGTTATGTAAAACATCTGGAATCCTGGGATATGTTTCTATTTATTTGTGAGTCCCTGGGCCCCTTTATGTTGCTCCTCCTCCTCCTCCTCCCCTTTCTCAATCCCAAAACCATTTACAGTCATCCATACGGACGTACTACTTTGCGCAGACGACAGACGCTATGGTGGCGCCTATCCCCAAGGCGCTTGCAATTGTCTCCCTCCATTCGCTAGCCGTCGCAGCGACCGGCGATGCGGAGCCTGCGGCGGACAACATTCTCATGCAGATCAATGTTGAAAGTGCGTGGCGACTTCCACCGGCCGATTGCGCAGGGGTCCGCAAACGTTTTGACGCTGGCTTTGGGGGTTGTGACGTGTACACTGCGAACCGCAACAACCACCAGTTCTGCCACAGAGACTTCGACGAGGGCCAAGGCTTCTACGCCGCGCAGGTGTGCTCCGAGTGCCTGGTCTGCCAGGCGCTTACCAAGGATGGCGAGAGGGTGCCCGCGGAGTCGGCGGCCCAGCAGGCGGCGAAGCTGAAGCGCGACGCCGAGCTGGAGAAGGCCGAGGCCTTCAAAAGAGCGGAGGCCAAGCACAGGGTGGAGGCCGGGCGCAGAGCGGAGGCCGTGCGCAAAATGCAGGAGAGGCGAGATGAGGAAGCGCGCAAGGCAGAGGCCAAGCGCAAGGAGGAGCCAGAGCGCGCGGCGGAGGGCGAGAGATCCATGAAGGCGTCGAAAGAGGAGGCGGACCGCAGGGCGGAGGCCGAGAACAATGCGGAGGCCGAGCGCAAGGTTGAGACCGATCGCAAGGCGGAGGCCGAGCGCAAGATAGAGGGAGAGCGCAAGATAGAGGCAGAGCGCAAGGCGGAGGCCGAGCGCAAGGCCGAGGCCGAGCGCAAGGCCGAGGCCGAGCGCAAGGCGGAGGCCGAGCGCAAGGCCGAGGCCAAGCGGAAGAAAGAGGCCGAGCGCAAGGCGGAGGCCGAGCGCAAGGTTGAGGCCGATCGCGAGGTTGAGGCCGAGCGGAAGGTAGCGGCCGAGCGCAAGGCGGAGGCCGAGCGCAAGGCCGAAGCCGAGCGTAAGGCCGAGGCCGACCGCAAGGCGCAGGCCAAGGCTAAGCGCAAGGCTGGTGCAGAGGCAGTGGCCGAGGCTGCGAAGGAGGCCGAGCGCAAGGCGGAGGCCGAGCGCAAGGTGGAGGCCGAGCGCGTGGCAGAGGCCGAGCGCAAGGCGGAGACCGATCGCAAGGCCCAGGCCGAGCGCAAGATCGAGGCCGAGCGCAAGGCGGAGGCCGACCGCGTTGCCAAGGAAGACGCCAAGCGGCAGGCGGAGGCCGAGCGCCAGGCGCAGGCCGAGGCCAAGCGCAAGGTGGAGGCCGAGCGCAAGGCGGAGGCCGAGGGCGTGGCCAAGGAGAAAGCCGAACAGAGGGCGGAGGCCGAGGCCAAGCGCAAGGTGGAGGCCATGCGCAAGGCGGAGGCCGAGGGCGTGGCCAGGGAGAAAGACGAACAGAGGGCGGAGGCCAAGCGCAAGGCGGAGGCCAAGGCAATGGCCGAGGCCGCGGAGGCCAAGCGCAAGGCCGAGTATGTGGCCGAACGCAAGGCTGAGGCCGCGCGCAAGGCAGAGGCCGAGCGCAATTCGCAGGCTAAGCGCGAAGAGGACGAGCGTTGGGCCAAGGAGTTGGCCAAGGAGGAGGCCGAACGCAAGGCGAAGCTGCAAGCGGGGGCTGCGGCGGAGGAGGCCAGGAAGGATGCTGAGCTGGCGGCGGCGGAGGAGGCCAAGCGCGTGGCACAGGAGGTGCAAGCCGCGCATGAGTCCGAGCGCGCAGCACGCCGGCAGGCCAAGAGGGCCAAATATGCCAAGCAGGCGGCGGCGGCGGCCAAGAAGCGGGCGGAGCGGCAGGAGGCTCAGCGCAAGATCGAGGCCGAGGAGGCTGTGCAGGCGGCGGCACAGGCGGCGGCGAAGGCGCAGGCGAGGGCGAATGAGGCTACTGCGGCGAAGGAGCCGAAGGCAGCGAAGGACATCACGAAGAAGGAGTTTGCGAAGCCGAAGCCTGCTCGGGAGGTGACTGACGCACGAGCCGTCGGCGACCCCCACGTGGTGAACATGTACGGACAGCGCTTCGACATCCAGAGGGAGGGCAATCACACGCTGATCCACATTCCCAGGAATGCGGAGCCCACAGCCACCCTGCTGAATGTGAACGGTGAGGTTTACCACATGGGCGGCGCTTGCGCGGACATGTATTTCCATTCAATTTCCGTACAGGGCAAGTGGGCAGCAGACTTGTCGTTATCGCTGAGCAAAGGGAAAACACGCAGCGCTGGCTTCAACTTCTTTGCGGACGCAGCTCACGAGAGCAACAGCACGCACTGGACGCGCTTCGGCAGCAAGCTGGATCTGAAGATTGTCTGGGGCATGACTATCACTGGCGTCCGCTACCTCAACATCCTCGTCAAGCATCTGGCCGACGTGCAGTTCTCCGTCGGCGGTCTCCTCGGCGGGGACGACCACTCGACCATCGCGACTCCGGTGGTGGACTGCAAGCGCACGGTCTCGCTCTTGTCCATCGGGAGCCACCCGGGCGCGGGCGTGTCGAAGAGCGACGGCTCTTTCGACGAGCTGGCGCAGGTGACGCACGATTCTGATTACCACTGAGCGCTGATTCATTGGGTGCGCAGAGATCACCCCCTAGATGCGAGCCCGCTTCTGCCGCACAGCCGGGTGCTGTTTGGGCGCCCTCTGTAGTCGACCACGGTCTATACATTTGGTGCGAGGCCGACGCGATCATGGGCCCGCAGAGACGGACCCGTTTCAGCAGCTGCTCTTCCTCCCCTTCCTCGACCAACGGCAGGTTCGTGTCGTGTCGATGCGGCGGCGACCCCGCCGCGGGCGCTCCCGAACATGCCGCAGAGGAGACGCCAACGGCCGCGTTTGTCCTCCGCGCACCGCGTTCGCCCGCACACCCTCCGCCACCGCCTTCGGAATTCCGTCTGGCAATCGATGGGGAAGCGCCGATGCCAAGATTAATAGACAGTCTGGGAGCGCAGCAGAAGTCAGAGCACTAGTTGTTTTATCAGCGCACGGGCACGCGTTCAGAAACCTCTGGTTTCGTGCCAACGGCTGCGGTGAATGGACAAACGAGGAAGCTTGCACGAGCGTCGATTAGCGTTAGAATGCAGAATCGATCCGCAAATGACATGGGAGGCTCACCACCCACCAATCCACCCCAACCCAACCGGAAGGCCCCAATTTGCCTTCCATTCCCAGTTTGGGGGGAACGTCGGGGAACGTTGAAGAAACACGTGTGGAACCCGTACCCCCCCAACCCGAAATTTAGGTTTTCGGGGGTTGGGTTGGCGTGGTCTGGTAGGGGCCCAAACCCCCAGTTGCCAAATCTTATGGGTCTTGTCGCGTGCCCTTTGGGGCGCGTCGCGGCTTCTCGCTTGATTCGTTTCGGGCTCACGAGGGCCCCGAGACGGGCCAAGAGTGCCCCAAGAGGCGGCACGGACGGTCCAAGAGGGCCTCGAATCGTCGCACGATCGGTCCCAGACGAACATTATTGTTCCAAGACGGCCCAAGAAGCAGAGGCCCCCCCGAGTTGCCATAGACACCGCGCGCACGCGCGAGGTGCGCCGGCTCGGGCGAGAGCTACGCCTCGATCTGGCGGAGCTCGCAGCCCACGGAAGGCTCCCGCTCTCGCGCGCGCGCAGCGCGGCGGCCCGCTCCCGCGCAGGGTTCGATGCAGCGCAGAGGGGTGCTTCGGTCGGGGGCCCCCAGGCCGTGTGGTGACCACACCGCGAGGCTCTGGGCCTCAGGGACGGGGCTTGTTTCGATTCGATCCGATTTCGATGACCTCCGATTCCAATCCGATTCGGTTTCGGGTTTCCTGAATAGAGGCATGATAGCCTGCCGAGTTCTGCCGGTTCGACTTCTCCCGATTCGGCTGCCGACTCCGCCGATCCGAATCATTTCGATCGCCGATCCGACTTTTTTGGCCCTCCTGCCCAGATGTCGGTCGGCGGCGAGCGAGCGGGGGAAGTGAGAAGGAGGAGGCCTCCTCAGAAGGCGGCGGGGCTTCTGGAAGCCCCCGGGCCTTCTTCGGGGAAGGCTCAGAAGCCTTGTCAGAAGGCCAGGGGACTTGTGGGCCTTCTGAGGAGGCCCCCCCTCCTCACTTCTCCCGGGCTCGCCGGCGAGTGAGATGAGGAACAGGTGCCGATGCCGCTGCCCTCCCCTCGCAGTTTTTCCCTTGTTGGGCTTCCTGGGTGCCCCTCGTCGCCACCGCTGGATTCGCTTCGAAATTATGCTCAGAACGCACCCTCCTCCTCTCCCTCGTTCCCTCGTCGCCCTCCAACAAAAAAACGGAATCCGTCGTAGCGCTCGGCGGGTGGGGAAAAAAACAAAAATGCTCAGAACGCACCCCAGGAGAGGTTTATGGAGTAGCGGTGCCAGTACCTCTTGGTTTCCCCCAAATGGGTTCCAGATCGGAGGATCGCGCCGCAGCGCCGATGCATCGTCGATACTGCTTGATGTTGAGGCAGAGTTTTCTCCACGCCGACGCCGCCGATTAATCGGAGGTGCAGCGCGATTCTCCGACCCCATCTACTCCGACCCCATTTGGGAGGCCTCTAGTGGTGAGTCCGTGGGGATTCGGGGTTACCGCACGGCTTTGGAACTCGGGTCAGTATCCGAGGATGTCTCGGGCGACTGGGGCCTCCAGGGTCCCAAAACCGTGCGGTAATGGACCGCGCGGAGAGGTCTCTTGATTTCGAGGTCACCGCGCGGTCTATCAGCACATGGCTTTCGACCCCCCAACTCGGAGGGGGGGTGGCTTCGCAGACCTCCACTGCATCGTAAAACTTGGCAGGGACGGAAGAAGTGTACCAATGATGCGCCGCCGTTGGGAGCCAGTTTTTTGTCCGAAGGCGTGGCGTTTCTTGGGGAACACGCTGATGGCGTCCCGACGGCGTCGTGCCACTGATACTGTCTTTCTTCATCTAATCAGGGCAAAGGCGTTTCGTCGCTTTCGGCCTCCGAGGGCCCGCGCGGGGCCCTGGGGCCGTAATTAACAAAAACGACTCGGGATTAACAATTTGCCTGGGGAAAGTGTCGGGGCTTCCAGGGACACCGCATTCGAACATTCAAAACACTGGATGTTTGGGGATACAGACAAATCGCTCCGGAGCGTTCCGCATCGCTCTCAGAGTGTTCTGGTGCTCTCCGAAACCGCCACGGCGCACGCCAGACCCCATCTCCAGGACCCGCGAGAATCCAGATAGACTCTAGCCAGATTTTTATACCGCGCGATGACGGCCGTCACCCGGGGGGTGGGAAGGGGGCCGGTGACGTCACGTTTCGCGCCGGCGAAGCCTGGGAGTGCCTAGGAATGGCCGAAGATGGGTAGGAACAGCATGTAGGTGGCGATCTGCACAACAGTGCCTTCAGCGAATGTGTACACCGCAGCAGCCGTCTGCAACACGGCGCCAGTGTGCACCACAGTGCCTGCGTGCACCACAGCGCTTATGTACACCACAACGCCTGCGTACACCACAACAGCCGAGTGCAACAGAGACCAGTGTACACCACAGTGCCTGCGTGCTCCACAACGCTTGTGTACACCACGGCGCCTGTGTGCACCACACCAGCCGTATGCACCAGAGCACCATTGTTGCATTTAAAAATTTAGAAGGAATCCTTGCGACACATGGAGCGCCTGTGGATTCCATTGGAAACAATGTTTCTTTCACACGGATTTGGAAAGGAATCTTTACTGAAAAAGGAGCGCCTCTGGCATCTACGAGTCCTCCCGAGGTGGAGGAAGAGGAGGAGGAGGAAGAGTAAGAGGAGGAAGAGAAGGAAAACATGCCGTACCTATTGGGGACGCCCATGAAGTCAGGGGCAGCGTGCTCCTGAATCAGGTCGCTTCAGGCGTGGGGCACTGCGGAGGCCGTATAGTGGGAGGCGCCGTGGCATGGGGGCACCGCGGCATGGTACCATGGCGTTTCATGGCACGACCGCCTATTTCTGTTGTTGACCATTCTTGTTTTGCGGTGCGCACTGAGATAAGCGCACATGCGCTGCAGTGCCGACCCGCACGACGGGGAGAAGGGTGAGGGAGGAGGAAAGGGAGGAGGAGGAGGAAAAGGCAGGAGGGGAGAACATCGCATTGTATTATCCGCGCTACCCTTGCGTGTTGTTTAGCTTCCCGCAGCAGATCCTCACCTACATGTTCCTTCTTCTTGTCCTGCGCACGCAGGCACTGTTGTGTGCACCAGCGCTGTGTTGCACGCGGATGCTGCGGTGTTCACAGGCGCTGTGGTGTATACAGGTGCTGCGGTGCATGAGTGCATTGTGATTCACAGGCACTGCGTTGCAGACGGCTGCTGCGGAGTACACATTCGCTGTGGCGTACACAAGCGCTGTGGTGCACGCGAGCACTGTGGTGTACACAGGCGTTGCATTGCACACCGCAGGCGTTGCGTTGCGTTGCGTTGTGTTACGGTGTACGCAGGCGCTGTGGTGTGCACGCGCGCTGTGGTGCACGCGAGCACTGGTGTACACAAACCGTGTGGTGTAGATCGCCACCGACATGCTGCTCCTATTTGGCGCCGGTCATCCGTAGGCATTCCTGGACGCCGCCGGCGCGGAACGTGACGTCACCTGGGGGGGGCGGGGCCTGTGACGGCTGCTAAAGCGGAAAATTAAAAAACAGGTTCCTCATTTTCATCTTCTTGCGAGTTGATCCTCGGCTCGTCTTCATCTTACAGGGGGGGGCACAGGGAGGACAAATATGGCTCAAGTCTTGGCTCAAGGGCCCGTGCACAGGGCGCAATTCCGGCTCTCTCCGCTCTCTCCGCTCTCGCCTTATTCCCATGGCGGCGCGCTGCCGGGTTTGCGTGGCCCGCGGAGAGGACGGCCTCGCCCTGCCAGGCGAGGGCGTCTGCGCGGCGCACCGGCCGTTCGACATGAACTTCGCCGGGGTGGCGACCGCGGACCCAGCCGCCGCGGCTCCAGCTGCCGTGGCGGGGAGCATGGACATTGACGACGACACGGAGGGGTCGGGCTGCAGCGGCGCTGCAGCGGCGCTGCAGCTGGCTGGAGCTCCGATTCCACTTGGACTTGATCCGCCAACAGCTGCCACGGCGCACCCCGCCGGAATCGCAGCTGCTGGTGCCGCCTCCCCCACCGCGCTGCCGTCCGTAGGTCAGCAGCCGCCTGGTTCCTCCCAGCACCTCCTATCCGCACACGACTTCCAGGAGCTCTTCAAGGCGGAGGCCCTCCAGTACGTCGAGCTCGTCCAGGCGGGCAGGACGGCTTCAGAACAGCATCATACCACAGTGTCCTTCCCGGGAACTTGGCAGGACCTCAAGGCGATCTTGGGCAAGCTCGACGCTGATCCTTGGGCGCAGCTGGGCTTCGGACCACTATGCGGCCCAGAACCCACGGAACGCGACATCCTGGCGAGGGCCCGTATTGCCCACCTCCTCTTGAGCCTCGGGGAAGGTGAGGCCTGGTCCGAGGCGGACCAGGGCCTGGCCAAACAGGCGGACGCGAAGATCCCGGCTGCGGCAGCGCACTGCGAGGCTGGCCTGCCCGACGCCCGCATGGCTCGACGGCAGCTCCGCCCCGACCGCCTCCCGCAGTGGAAGGAGCTGGGAGGGGATGCGCTAGCAGCTGTCCGGGCCTTGCCGGGCGCGGAGGGGCACGGCTTCCTCGCGCAATGGCCACAGGTCCTCGACCCGCGGGGCCGCCGCGCCCCCGCGGTCGAGCGCCACCGACGGCTGTCGGACCTCTTGGAGAAGGGCGACGCCCGCTTCCTCCAGGAGACGAGGGGTCAGCAGCTGTTGGCCTGAGCGCCCGCCGACACGGGGGCGTTGCAGCGGGTCTTGCCGCAGTTTTTACGACGCTCCTCCACGGAGGCACCGACTTCGATGCTGCTGGTCACGCCGCTTCCCTCTTTTCCCGGGGCGGCCACGGCGACACAGATGAGACTTGTGGCACCACCCTCTGCTCGAGGAGAAGCACGCGGCGATCGTCCAGGCCATCCATCTTCTCCCACAGCCGTTGGAGTACATCCTCCCCGGGCGGCGTGGACCTCGCCACGTCCGGCAAGGCTTGGCCTGCTTCCGCATCGCGCGCACGGGCCTGCGGAGCCGCCCGGCGATTGCCTCATCTCGGACCCCACTCCTGAAGGTTTGTAGCCATCGACGCTCCGTTGAACCTCTTGCCGACCCTCATGTCCAAGTTGGCCACTTTGGAGGAGTTCCGGAGCAGTCCGATTCGAGACCCCACGCGTAGCATTGGCAGCACGAGCGGGTCCCCCCGGACATCCGTGGAGCTACTCTTCCCACCAGCCCTCTCGCAGCTTGGCAAGGAGCTCCTGGTCCGCAGGTTGCAGCGGTCGGTGCTTTCGCAGGGGATGCTTATCGGCCAGCGGACTTTGTACGTGGCAGAGGACGCCATGATCCTCGAGTGTCTCTCACCTGCGGTGATGCTGAAGGCCGGGCCGCTTTGCTCGGAGGCCCTTTTCCCCACCCCGAACAAGCTCCTGGCATCCACAGACGCTTCCGCAGAAACCTGGACTCAGTTGATGGACGAGCTCTGCCGAGAGGGGGAGCTTAGTCTCATCGCGAAACTCCGTTGGAAGTCGAGCCGGTTTGGCGGGAGACCCTATGCTCTCCCAAACTGC